GGTATACCCCCGGAGTAGGAGAGTTGTTGCGACTTTGGTTACCAATTATGGTGTGTTGTTTATGCTTTTCAGTACTGTTTTCAATGTTTATACCTTTCCTGTGTTGTTATATTCAGATCAGATGTCTCGACATCCTATATGACATATGAGTTCTGTTATACTATAATTTCAATTGGTATTAGAGCAAGCATCTTGTTCTGTTTCTGGGTGAGATCCTAGGATGATACTTTCTGGTTTATGAGCAAGGTAGGAGTTTATTACTGAAAAGTTGTTTGAACTTGGAAAGTTCATATTGTGTTTGAACGGTCCCTAGAAGTGGAGGATGGATTGTTCATGATAGGGTGTGTATTGGACCTGTCTGTGTTGTTTTCAGGCGTGTAGATTTGGTGGCAAGCTACTGTGTTGGGGGATTGATTTATTTTCAAACCTAGGTTAACTTGTTGCACCTGGGGTATGGTGTGTTTGTGCAAAGTTTATGTTGTGCTTGAAGGTTGTTGAGGAATTTTCTGGTTTGTGTTCCGCTGCATATATATCTGATGGAAAACTCTTAACGGTTTTGTGTGTTGACTCTGCAACACTTTATTCTCCTCTGAAGGTGTATCACATGGTGTGGTTATACTTGAGAAGAGGTTCGACTAGCTTGTTAGAGTTGCTAAAGATACTTGAGGTTTATCCCAAGTCCACTCATAAAGGCCCTCTTATATGAGTTTGTTGAAGAGATATCTGGTAGAGGCAATTTATTTTTGTTTCCAACCCTAAAAGGCCAATCTCCAGGCTTTGATAGAGTATCTCTTGGTGTGTTCCTTGTGAAGGGAACTGATGTCCTACCAGATGTTGGAACATCAAACCAGCATATTGTGCAAAATCTTGTTGGATAAAGGTAGGGCATATCAGATGCTTGGTTGCTGAATAAATATGTTTTGATCACTTATGTTTGGAACCTACTTCTGATTTGGAAGAGGAGGTATCTGTGTTTTGTGTCTAAGAATTTTATTTGTTAGAAACAAGTCTTAGATAAGTATGTTGGTCAGAACACGATCAACATATTGGACACTCATTAGATTGGTTTATTTCTGATCTAAGTGAGTTAGAGTGTAGAGGTTGTATTTTCTTTTCCTATGGAGGCTTGATAAAGGTATCTCTTCCAAATCCTTTATATGTGGAGGTCAAGCTCAAATGTCAAAGACATTCTCTCTAGACATTTGGAAGATCCTTCTGATCAAAGGAGCTAGATTTATAGAATCTTGTTTATGGCCATAGAACATATTCTGTTTGATGGAAGTAATGGATTAACCACAAGATGTGCAGCTACTGTATTATTCTCAAGGCATTTTTAGCAGTTAATAAGGGGTGGTCCTTAATTTGAAGCTAGAAGAAATTGAAGAAATGTCAAACATAATGTCTTGACATATTTGTATTGAGAATTTATTTTTCTCAAATATGTTTGGTGGTACTTTTCATAAATAGGATATAGGTTGTTTAATCTAACTTTGTACTCTTATCAAGTATATGAGAGCATGAAACTCTTGTTATGTTAAAGCGAAAGGTCTTTCAAGCCAGAGTGCATGCTCTCGAACCTGTTTGTTTTTTATACTTAATTTACTGATGTTCCATATTGCTAGAATACCCCCAGACCTTCCTTCTGAAGGTTTAAAAGCAAAATTGAAAGCGTTAGCTCCCCACACAGAAAAACAGAATTTTCTATCTATGGATTCCATCTTTGTTTCTTGAAGACCAATAAGAACATGTTTTTCCATATAGATCAAATTTTGCACTTCTTTCTTCTTAGAAGCCCCCCAAGACCTCTAATATTATAACTAATTAATCTTATAGACATGGACAAACGCTTTGATACCCCTTTCCCGAACCACGACCCAACTGGAATTAGTTGACCCATGTCCCCCTACTAACACCAACCTCCAATTCTTGAACGATTTCTCCTTCTCCCCCTTATGAATTAATCTAAAATATTTGCCTAAATCCCACACATCTTTTGTTATTTCTTTTGTCTCCTCATGAATTAGTCTCCAGTTTACTGACTCATTCCCTACTAGATCAATATCATCAGAAATCAGTACCTGATTAAGTGTGACTTTCCTTTGATTGCATGAGCATCTTTGCTTCTTATCTTTTTTCCTCTTAAACCATGTTTTCTTCTTTTCTCTGAGAATATTGGTCTGTCTTTTTCTTCTGTCTTTGCTTGAAATGGCTAAATATTGTTCCTGCTTGTGGATTTCTTGAACCCATTTGTGTTCTTGACTTTCCCAGACCTTTTCGAACATTCTGCTTCTATTATTTTTCTGCTGTCTTGAGATTTCTGGATCTCAATGTTGATCGAGTCTATCCCACGGCTTATAGAAGGAATATGGGTCGAGACTTCATTGATTGCTTCTTCCCGATTTAGACTGTTGTGAAGGATTGGGCTTGTGGTTTGAATTTGGCCCACTTGGTTAGATTGTTCTTCCATTTTCTTACCTTCCAAACAAATAATTGTGGACCCATGTTTAACTTTTTCCACCGCCAGGGGTTTAAAAGTCTTTTGCTTTGAGGCATCAGTAATGTAGACAGTCTACTTCATTTTTTTGATCTTTTACCCCGTGATTACCGCCTATACCTGGACCTTCCGACTCTCTTATCTTATTAACCTCATGAATGAAATCTTCTTGCCTTTTCAAAAAAAATTATTCTCGAGCCCCACGATTTTATGAGGATTTAAATGTGCCTACGTGTGCTCATAATTATTCATCATCCATTCTCTCTCCTCATCTTCTTCCACATCCGCCATTGATAGTGGTATGAAGGATGAGTCTAAATCTCCATCGTTGTCTTCTTCGTCTTGATTGATCCACACCAAATTAGGTCTTTCATTTTCTACGTAGGAAGAGTCGCACATCTCCTCGGTGATTCTGACGCTAAAACATTGGTTATTGATGTGAATTTTTACAACATTATTGATTAGCTCCAGTTTTGGTGTTCTAACGTAAACCCTTGAGATATCCAATCTCTATAAAGTTTCTGTCAATGCATCTAATTTAATAAGCCTGCCAAAAGAGTTTGTCAATATGGAAAAATATTCCTTTTCCATGCATGAATGGGGACCCCGACCATTCTACACCATATGTCTCTCTCTCCTCCGACGTCGCGAGTTTCCCAATTTATGATCAGTGAGAACATTTGATTGAAAACGGGTCCGTAATCCTTCTTCAATAAACAGAAGTCTTCATTTTCGTCTATTTTAAGGAAAACTTTTTCTCCCCCATAGGTATTGCTTTTACAGTGACAATACCTTCATTTACCAGTTTTTGATTAATGGACGCTGCTTCGTCCATGTTGTGGAGACAACCGATGTAATCTTTCTTGGCCCATTTCATGTCTTCTTCCTTTATGTTTATGCTCACCCATTTCCATTGATGCTTTGCCTGCTTAATCTCTTGTCATTATGAGCCTTTGAAGATTCTGAATGCTTGGTTACTGCAGCATACGTTCTTCCTTCCTGTCTCAAGCTTTGTCCCACTCTTGCACTTGCCTTAAGTCTTAATCTTTTGTGTTGGACATTCTCCTCTCTGTGATGATCTCTCATTCCTTTTCCTTCTCTTAAAAAGCTGGTCGGTTTCATTGGACCACTAGGTCTGGAAATTTTTGGTATGTTTGCTCATATCTTGTGTGATCCAAACCATATAACCCTTCATCTGGTTTTCTAGCCATTCTTCATCTTTAACACCTTCGAATCTCACAAAAGCGAATATCTTCCTCTATCCTGTTCCTCTTTTTTGTGATGTATACATCATAAATCTTTCCCCATCTTTCAAACAATTTCACGATCTCTATCTCAATACTGTCTTTTGGTAAATTATTCACGTAACATGTAGTTATTTTCTCTTTTGGTGATACATCGTAATCAGTCCTTCTATGCTTCGGTCCTCCGACTCTCCTTCTCCTTGATCTCACGACGGTCCAGCTTGCTCTGTAAATCTCTCCCTCTTTGTTTCTCTCTCCCTCTAGTTCTCTCATTTTGTTTTTGTTGAACAATCAATTACGATTAATATTCGTGGAGTTTCGGTGTTGCGATGTGGCATATGTTATTGTGTCTGAAAGATATTTTCTTTTTGTCAGGTGGGTCTGTTGTAGTGCCCGTGTAATAACTAATAAGGAAGTTATGTTTCCTACGTCAATCAGAGAGGCATAGATAGTGAATTAGGCTTGACTTTGGTTATGCTTTGGTGAATTTTATAATTTTGTTGTAAGATCCCATGGCCAATGATAAGTTCGAAGTAGAACCGGTAGATTAACTTATTATAACCACTTATTGTATAACCACTTACTTTTGCACTGTTTTCTTAAATTAAACTTTAAATCAAACTATCCCCAATTAGATTTCTATTAGTTAATAATAATTTCAATAATTTTTGCAATACGACTTGAGCCATTTTCGCTATCTACAATTTTAAAAACACTTATTTTTGATTCGTGCGCGACAGCAAATCAAATTGTATTGCTTATGCCAGCTAGTTTTAATAAAAATTTTATTTTTTGCCTTAAAAAAACAATATTATACACAAACAACACTTCTGACACACAAAAATTAAACAACATTACACAATCAATTGTAGAAAATGGACATCAATTCAACAATGACATATACATAAACATAATTTAGAACAAAATTACACAATCTACCATAAACCCTAAAAATTTCTTTTCTTTTCACTTTATTTTCTTTCTAGAAAACCAAACGGAGCATTTAGGTAAAATCACGTTCCACAGCCCCAAAAATCACGTTTGATTCGCCCAAACGCGCTTCCAAGCATATATAATCAGTGATTCATCGGTTTTCCTTCCTCCGGCTTCTTTTCATCGGTGTTCAAAGCCGTATCACCCACCACCCAAGTCAGCTATTCCTTCTCCTTATCACTTCCATAAAAATCCCCACATTCAAAATCTCATCTTTTTCACCCGCCACCTGTTTGTTTCTTTGTTTCTGAATTTACTCACTCATTTCAATGCCTTCAATTCCAAAACGCCAAATTATCTTCATGGGCATGTTTAATAGGTACATAAACTCTCTCAAAAATCATTCCTTTTCATCACACACCCATCACCACCATCATCATTATCACTCTTATCTATTCAGAAACAAAGCTTTGCCACAAATTGACACCACCCTTCAAACTTCAATGTTTTATGTATTTAAAAACTCCTCAGACGCCCATTATCTTCAATTGATTCAATCTTCGTTGCCAATGAACTCTTTTGTTGCATTTCAATTATCCAATTGCCATTATTGTTCAGAAACAGTTACCATGAACCAAGATTCTGGTTGTGGTGTGAGTGATGATGTTGTGGGGGTTAACGCTGTGGTGGAGAGTAGTGGTTTTGAGAGTGATATTGATAAGGTGCATATCACTGTAATGGATAATTTACTTGGTTTTCGTAATATGGAGAAAGCTCTTGAAAAATTAGGGATCCCATTGTCCACACCATTGGTTACTGGTGTGTTGCATAGGCTTCGATACGATGAAAAGATTGCATTTCGGTTTTTCACATGGGCTGGTCATCAAGATAATTATTCTCACGAGCCTTGTGCTTATAATGATATGATGGATATTTTGTCTAGTACAAAGTATAAAGTAAAACAGTTTCGGATTGTTTGCGATGTGTTGGATTATATGAAGAGGAACAACAAGAGTACGGTTCCCGCGGAAGTTCTGATGAATATTTTGAGGAAATATACTGAGAGGTATTTGACTCATGTTCAGAAGTTTGCGAAGAAGAAGAGGATAAGAGTGAAGACACAACCGGAAATAAACGCGTTCAACTTTCTGTTGGATGCTTTGTGCAAGTGTTGCTTGGTTGAGGAAGCTGAAGGGTTCTATAAGAGAATGAGAAAAACGATCAATCCTAATGGGGATACGTATAATATTTTGGTTTTTGGATGGTGCAGGGTTAGAAACCCGACTAGAGGGATGAAAGTGTTGGAAGAAATGATTCAATTGGGTCACAAGCCTGACAATTTCACGTACAATACTGCACTTGATACTTACTGCAAAGCAGGCATGATAACAGACGCGGTAGAGCTTTTTGAGTTCATGAGGACAAAAGGTTCAATCATATCTTCTCCCACTGCCAAAAGTTATTCAATTCTAATTGTGGCTCTCGTCCGAAATGATAGAATGGAGGAATGTCTTAAAATTATCGGGCATATGATTAGCAGTGGTTGTCTTCCTGATGTCACGACATACAAGGATATAATCGAGGGTATGTGTTTGTGTGGTAAAATAGACGAAGCTTACAAGTTCTTGGAAGAGATGGGAAACAAAGGTTACCGGCCTGATATTGTTACTTATAATTGTTTCCTCAAGGTTCTCTGCGACAATAAGAAGTCTGAGGAAGCCCTTAAACTATATGGAAGAATGATTGATTTGAATTGTGTTCCTAGTGTCCAAACATACAATATGCTGATTTCAATGTTTTTTAGGATGGATGATCCTGACGGGGCATTTGAGACTTGGCAAGAAATGGAGAAGAGGGGTTGTAGACCAGACACAGATACATATTGTATCACGATTGAGGGCTTATTTAACTTCAATAAAGCAGAAGATGCTTGTATTCTTTTGGAAGAAGTGATAAACAAGGGAATGAAACTTCCGTATAGAAAGTTTGATTCCTTGTTGATGCAACTTTCAGTGATTGGTGATCTCCAGGCTATTCATAAGCTCTCGGATCATATGAGGAAATTCTATAATAATCCTATGGCAAGACGCTATGCTCTAAGCCAGAAGCGTAAGAGCATGGGTTTGAGAGGGAAGTCATAGTAAGAAATTTCTTGGTTGTGTTTGTGCTACCTTTCCGCAAAAACTTGGAGGAGATTCTGTTAGGAGATTCTGCCAGGAAGGTTTTTCTCATGTTTGGTTGGACAAGTATTTTCTGGAAACATGGTAGGTTAAAGTATTTATCACTCTACATCAGGATGACAGTTAGTTGCATATGTGAACATACTCTACTGGTTATGCTCTCCTGCCAATACTTTTGCATGAAAAATTTGGGTCTTTGGATCTTATCTATTCTCGTTATCAGTTCTGTAAGAGAAATTTTGGAAGCTGTTATGACATTCTGATTGAGCAATGATGGTTAGTTGATGCAACCTAAAGGTCGAAAGATTCATATATGTATTATGTTGTCTTGTGGGGGAGAAATGGTTGCGAACTTGTGCATGATGGCAAAATTTGTTATCTGGTCAAGAATCTGTTCGTTACTTCCGCTGGAAGATATCACAATTTAATGAGTTTTTATCTAACATCTTAGGGGTCATAGTATGGTTTGACCCTATGAAATAGCTACCTGTATCACAATAATAATGAATGTACCATCACTTCAATAACTGAGTCGAACACTTATTTACAAAATGTTCTCGAGTTTGAATAGTGTTCGGCCAAACTCAAGAAGACAAGAACTCAAGGTTTAGAAAATGAATACTTAAAATGTTTTAGAAAGTAAATTGACCAATATATCCAGTGATTTACATATGTATTAACAATTCAATGATTTACAAGTAACATATCCTTTGGAAATGTAATGTATCCCATATCTGAAAAACTTCTGAAATTTGCTCACCCTATTTTAAGTGCAAACATGATTTTCCCAGCTGAATAATTTAGCTTTAAGGGTCAGCCATCTTTCTGCTGGTAATCCTTGTTTTTTGAAGAATGAATTCATGTATTTTTGTAGATGTTTTATGGAGTATCGTTGATGCTTGTGCAGGTGCTTTTTCTGGAAGTGGAGAAAATATCTTATAAAAGATATGTAATGTTGTGAAGCAAGCCTAGGATAGTACTCACTATACTTTGAACCGGTCAGGATGGATTTATTTGAATTTATCTACTATCATAAGGAATGGTGAGACTCTTTGAGAGAGTTTATAGAAATAAGGTTTAATTACAATTTTGGTCTCCTTATTTTGATTTTTTTTAGTTTTGATTTTTTTATTTTAAAAATCACGATTTTAATCTCTTTTTAAAGTTTTGTATTTGATTTTAGTCCCCTTCCAATTTAAGACTTATTTTAAATATTTTTAATGATGTAGCGTAGTTAGTGATGATGTGTCATTTTCTTTTTGTCTAAATATATTTTCATGTCATATTTGTCCATTTAAAATTAAATTATTTATTAAATTTAAGATTAATTCACTTATCTAAAAAAAGTATAAATAATCATGTTTTAAAAAAAATACACAAATAACCATGTTTCAGAGAAAATTACAGAAATAATCATGTTTCAGAATACACTTAAACAGAGGAGCCAACTCAGATGACGCATGCTCTTACTTGTTAGCCTTAGGCGTCATCTCACTTGGCGCATACACTTACTTTATGCCATGTGAGATGGCACATACTCTATAGTTTGGAGAGGAGGCGCCATCTGAGATGACTCCTACATGCAAGTGTGTTTTCTATAAATAAAACACCTATTTCTCCATCATTCTTCATACTTTTTCACATTCTCTTCTCATTTTCTCTCTGTTTTTTTACATCATGACATCTCTCATAATTTTCACCAACGATGAGTACGTTATTTTCTCGGTCGCCAAACCTCCAATGAAAATGAAAATTTGGCACATTCATTCCATAGAGCGCCTGAAGAGAGAGTTGATGCGATGGCTAGAGAGAGACATCGAAGCTGGGGAACAAATTAGAAGGATCGAGAGAAGAAGAACAACCACCTCACTTGCAACTGGAAGACCTCAATCTTGGTTGGAGGAAGTCAAAATTGACAGATACGTAATGGTGATGATGCATGGCTCAAATGAAATTGTTTTGACTGTTGTAATTTCTTAGATGTTTTATCGTGTTGTTGATGTTATATTTACATGTTATATTTTATCGTAATGGTGGTGATGTGTTTTTATTTGTTGTTTGTGTATGGTTTGTTGTAATAAATGCTCTTAATGAAAAAAAAGTTATGTTTAGGTCTTAAAAAAGTGAAGATAGTTTGCATACAATTTTTATGTTGTCGAGCTTGTAGCACGAGTGAGACAATTTTTCTGATTGTGTCCGACCTAATGATATAAACCACACTTTCTTTCTAGCTTGTCAAGGGAGTCCATTTCAGTTGTGATACGCTTACTTTTGGGACAATCCTTTTTATTCCTTTGCATTTGATCATTGTGTCATACTATTTCCCCTTCGTATGCAGGCCAATAATTCGATTTTGCTACCATTGAAAAGTCATTGTTGTATACGCTGAGCAATGTCTCTGACTTGTAAATGGGACATAGAAGTAGTAATGTATCTTGATGAGTATATGTACATGTTGCAATGACATGAGAGAAAGACATGCAAAAGACTTGAAACTTTCCACAATCGCACCAACGAGATGGTAGTATAGCCATATACTCTTGTCTTGGCAACCCCTCGTTGTGGTCGATTGTCTCTTTGACAATGAAGTTATGGCTATGTCGGTTGAACCTTATAACAATATGGGTGTTGGCTTTGGCACCTTCTGCCTTAATATATTTCATGCAACTTTCACTCTATAGTTGTCCCGATTGTAAGACAACGTTCCATATTTCACCTCTTTTTGAAAACAACGAAGCCATCCTAAAATATGTTGATTTCACCAAAGTGGTTACTGGGAGGTTTCATATGCCTTTAAATACATCGTTCATTGATTTAATAAGATTTTTTTCATGTGGCCCCATCGATGTCCATTGCCGTATGACCTTGTCCATTTCTCCACTGGAATATTATCAATCCACCTATTTGCATCCGGATTTGACAATCTGATTTCGTTGCGATAGTATTTGAACGAAGGTTGTGTTAATACATACCCCACGTTCATAATCGTTTTTCTAAGAGCCCTGTCTTTGATCTCTCTCATGAAATTTTGTGATATGTCTAATGCATTAGACATGTGTAGAAGGAGGGTCATGTCAACCATTTGCAGGATTATTGTATGCACTCTCAATAGATGAATGTATGTCGGAGATCAAACAAAGACCAGGTTGTGGAGCCACGTGTGTTCGGAGATTCTTGAGAAAGAAACTCCAAGCACCACCAGTCTCTCCCTCTACTAGAGCAAAGGCAATTATGAAAATGTTATTATTGCCATCTTGTGCAACTGCCATCAGTAGTGTGCCTTTGTATTTCCCATACAACCAAGTTCCATCTATCTGAATAATAGATTTGCAGGACGTAAACCCTGTGATGCAAGGTTGAAAAGCCTAGAACAGTCGAATGAATATTCCATTTCCGTTGGCATAAGTACCATCTGGGGCATACGTCGACAATGTTTCCATAATATAAACAGTTCTAGGAGCATACGTCTGAAGTGCATGTAGGTAGCGTGATAGTTCTTTGCATAACTCCTCCCAGTTTTCATATACCTTTTCAATCATTTTGGTCTTTGCTAACCACACCTTTATGTATGACGAAGTATAATTATCTACTATAATGATGTGAGAGATTATGGTTTTCATCTTCAATGATGGATCATTGCTGGTGAGATGTAGGATTTCTTGACATATTAGATCATAATTTAGTTTACGATGATCTTGTGATTGAGTAAAATTAACGCACGTGTGGGTGGACAAAGAACCTATCACCCAACAATCACTTCTCAACTTGTATGATGCAGTGAGCCTGAACATACAATCTGGGTAAACACACTTGAGCTTGTACCTTTTTGGATTTAACCGATCTACCTTAAAATCGATAGAGTTTAACATGTGAAATTTTTTTATAACTCGCATACAATCTTCTATTGAACAAAATTTGTCGTTCTCTTATAAATTTTCATCTGAATGCTTAAACGGGTTGAAAAAAACATTTGATGACAGCTCATCTCCGTCCATGTTGAAGTTTGTCATGTGTGAAGGTGGTGCGTAGATTTCATTTAGAGGTATTTCAGGTAGCGCATCATCTTCAGATTCATCATTGACCATGCTGTCAAACTCTAACTCTTCACCTTCCTCTTCTTCATCAACAACATCTACTTCTGCTTGTTCGTCTTCGAGGGGATCAACCACTTGTGATTGAGTTGGTTGTGGCGGCTGAGGCTCCTGAAGCACAATGTACATCTCAATCGAGTCGTACCCAAAATACTCATGACTAGAAAACATATTTTGAAGGTCCTCGTCATCTTGAACCGCTACCTTATAAAATATTATTTGGTTCTCACAAAAAAAAATAGATTTTGGTAGAAGATGTGTGACACTGGACCTCGTTAAAGTTTGAACTCCAGTTGTTTTTTGAAATACGAAAAATTGGCTTTATGTTTAAATAAAATCGGATGTTATCACTGTTTCTAAATAAAAACCAGAGACATCACAATTGTACGTCTCTCCATCGAAATGTGCATTGATAACATATTATGTTGCAGAGGACATTGTGTTTGTGTGTTTGATTGTTTTCGTATGTGAGAATTTGTCTGAGTGGTGACAACATAAGGTGCATGCAAGAGAATAAATAATGTGCAGATGAGACGAACAAGACAAATTTGATCTACCAATGAGGCGCCAATTGGGATGGCGAATCCTCATATAATTGGCCTAAGGCGCTAGCTGAGATGGTGCATCCCTTATAGGCATGTCACGTAGCATGCATGACTACTACCTACACTACGCCTGCCACCTACACCTGCACTTATGTTGCCACCCATGCTGCTGTTGGCTCCTAAATTTGACACCTACTATATATTGGTCTTATAGGCCAAAAATAGAACAAATAAAGCCAAGTTGGAAAATATTTCGACGGATGGAAAAAACTTAGAGAAAATATCTGAGTTACACATTGGTCTTCGACCAGGCATCACCATCAAG